GATGGATAAACATTTTTCTAAATACTTTTCTTCGTGGCAAATAGTTATTTTTGATAAATTTTTGTTCGATATTGACATTAATGTTTAAAAATATATAAATGAAAAAAGAGGTAATTCGAAGATCTATATTTGAAAAATAGGATTAAAGTAATATTTGGATAAGAGCTAACGATATTAGAATTAATAAATCGAGAAGGAAATTATATATCTATATTGGAAACGATACGTACATTTTAATAAAAGTTACTGGACACACGTGCACTGGCGAGCACGTGTCACATTTTCAATAACATAATTAGCATTCTTAATCGAATAACTGGCATCATAAGTGGAGGACAAGGATTGGACGTGAAGCCAAAAAACGTGAAATAATCGATCGGATTCGATTTAAGTTTCTCACGAATTAATCATTCATGAAATATTAAAATATCGATTGGAGGTTAAGACAAAATTAAATTTCGACTTGTACCTGGCATCGTGAGGAGTGGGAAGCGTGGCGCCACGATCCAGCAGGATTTTTAAAATTTCATAGTTGTTCTTATGCGCGGCCAGAATTAATGGAGTTATGTCCGGGGTGAAATTCGACGATGATTTGTCAACAGCTTCCCAACTCTGTGAGAAAATCAACGGAATGCTGATAGAAATTTCCTTTGTTACTTTTCAAATTCTTTCTTTAGAAAGAACATTTATATTATTTCCAAATTGTTCGATTCGCAAAATATTTCAAAGATTATATAAAAAAAGATAAGAAATAAAAAAAATATATAAACGGAAAAGGAAAAAATAAGCTTGAATTGAATTTACATAAGCTTGGCCAGGCTTGTGCGTTTTTTCCTCCCATTCCAGCAAGATTTCCACAGCTTCCACGTATTCTTCCTTTATAGCATGTAAGAGTCCATCCTGAAGGGAAAAGCGAAAATTATGTGTGATGCTTTTAAACTCCACGCCACAAGTGGAAACTTTATCGGTGATGTTTAGTTCTATCTATCCATCATTATCTTTCATTCACTCGCACAGAGAGAGAGAATGAAACGACCGTTTTGCTTCTTTATCTTCATCTTACCTTCACTTGAATCCCTAACTCGAGAAGTAGCTTGATGAGTTCGATGTTCTCGTTTTCGATGGCGGCGATCAGAGCGGATCGGTCCAAAGGATCCACGCAGTTGATGTTAAGGATTTCCGGATGATCCTTGTTCTCCAGCAATAATCTGATCGATAATATTTCATTATATTTCATTATATACGATCAAAATATAAGTAATCTTCTAAAAAAAAAATCCGACATTTTCACATTTTCACAGTATGAAATAAATCGTGAATCGAAATTCTTCTATCCCCTCCACCAATCTCCATTAAGCAAATAGACGAATAGAGGAATAGAGAGGAAGAGAAACGTAGCAGCAACGATTCTCGCCATTTTTCACGACGATTCGAGATCGATGCTACGACTCCCCCCTCCTCGACCACTAACTCCCCCTCCTCCCCAACGATTTATCTTCCGGCCGGGCACGAAGGATTACCTTTTGACAGTGGCACAATCACCTCGTTCCGCGCTCAGCAGGAAGTGCTTCTCAACTGGGCCAAGAGCGTAGTCCGTGGGCGCGTTTAGAGATTGTACCGACGGTGCTCTCGCGTCATCCGCGAGAAGATTCTGTTGCGACTCGGATGGATTCATTCTTGGCTTGGTGTATATTCCCGCGGATATTCACGGGGGATGGTTCATCGAATATATATATATATATGTACCTACGAAAATTCGTTGGAAAATTCGTTCAATATGGGAGGAAGAAATTTTTTGGCAGTTGGGATATTATTGTATAGGTTTTTTTTTTTCGTGGGTGAGAGGAAAGAATAAACGAAAGAATGGACGAGTTTTGACCTTTGTCCTTTTCCAGGCAAACTAATGGAATGTGATACGGAAGGAATGGAAGGGAGATCTTTGAGAAATCGTGAATATTCAGATATTTTTCACTTAAATTTGAGAAATTTGTTAATCGTAAAAAAAGTCAATATTGGGATCGATAAATTGAGAAATTTATTTTGTTAATTCTAGAAAAATTTAATATAGGAATGAGATATTTCAGAAAAATTTCAGAAAAAGTCAATGTTGGAGTTGAAATTGATTTGCTAATTATAAAAAAACTTAATATAAAATTGAAATTGAGACATTTAAAAAATTTGTTAATCGTAGAAAAAATTAATATTGAAATTGAAATTGAGATACGTAGAGATTAAATGTAGTGGAATCGCGACGAAAGGGAAAGTAGGTTCGGATTGAACATAGAGAATATAGGATTCCTTTGTAATGATCCGAAGATAATCTTATGAGCGTGAACACGTCATAGTTATCGATTGCTCCGCATTGCTTCTATAAAATCCATAATTCAATTTCGATATTTAATCTGAAAGTACTTAATCTGAATTCTTGACCGCAATATTTCCATTTAAATCCATTCTGTATTTCAATTTTTTCTTAATCTACGAAAGAACAAAATGTGGAAGCATTAAAACGATGAAAAAAAATATTCGCGAGTTGAAAGATTGGACATTTTTAACGAATTATTACAAAATAAAATTTCGAAAATTATTTAAAATTAAAATACTTATGATAACTCTCTTTAAAATGTTTTCCATATTAAAAGAGAAATATTTCAAAATTTTTATTGGTAGATATTTCATAGTCTCCAATTTCAGTTAGAGTTTTGTAGCAAAGCTTCTGAAATTACATCTTTGGTTACATGAAATATGAACACATCGGTGAAACAATTTCGTCTAGTTAACTAGATCACTCCTACTTTCTCTGAGATAAACATGGTACACTTTTACGTAAAACTTTTTTTAATATTATTTTTAATATTTAATATTTTTTAATATTATTTGATAAAAAAAAGAAACAAATAGAAAAACTATACTATATCTATATATTTATAAAAAACTATATATAATATTTCAACTAATCAATAAGAAAAAAGACTTCACTTCATCACTATATAACCTATAAAATATAATAAATACCTACTCGATATAAAGAAAGACAAAAAAACTTCATCTTCACTGCAAAATATATATCAATAAAATCATACGATAAATTAGAATCATCTTTCGTTCGATGTAACTTATAACAACTCGAAATCATTCAAATTTCATTTTCATCCACGCACAATCGACACACACAATCCGATCCGTACCTCGTAACGTTTCTAGATTAACATGAACCGACGATCATCATCGTGATTCTCGTCAACTCGATTCTCTTTCGATGCCTTCTGATCAGCTTGGACTATAACTAGAAATAACTTGGTGGCCAACGATAGTAGAATAAAAGCGGTATGCTCACCAGAGCTCTAGATAGTTGGTCGAAGCCATAGTACGTCGGTCAGCTAAGGCATGGATTAGGCACAAACACGTGGATCGCATCGAAAAAGGAATTGATCACACGCGTATCCACGTGCACAAAATCTGGCGACTCTCTCTTAGATCTCTTCATAATTCTTCTTATGGATTAACCTATCAAGGGACAACGCGACACTTCATTCGTAATCTTTTTTTTTTAATCTTCTCTATATAAATCAGAATTTGTTCGAGAGATTTCTTTCTTCGAATTTCCTCGAATCGTTAATAAATATAATTTAGAATTGGTACGCTGTTTTATCGATAAATCGAATAAAATAATACAATTGCTAGAATGATAATAAAATGAAATTAAAAAAAGATACGTAATTTATGATAAATCGCAAGTGGTAAAATCTTAAATTTGACAGTTGGTTGCGATAAAAATGAAACGATCCAGTAATCATTAATTATTTAATGATTCGTCGATGATCCAATCTAATATGTATCAAGGAAGGACGCGTGGGATGTTTCTTCCTTTTTTGTTCCTTTTTCTTCGTTTACCTTTGGATTTGAGATAACGAAAATAATGAGGACTGATTCGGTTGAACGAAGCTCGCGCAATTCTTTTTCGTCGGTCATTTAGTTCGTATACGTGTATATACCTGCACCCAATGAGATTTTTCGAGGTTGATTGGGAAAAATGGTGACATCTAAGGGATTCGAGACTTTCTTCTTCTTATACGATGTGTAAACTTTCGCTTATTCTCGTCGAATAGATTTTTGGATGTTTTCCCTCGTTCAAAAGAATAAATTCTTTTCTTGCGGAAGAACCACGTTCACTTATATGCAACATGTAATTTACAACATGTAAAAAAAAAAATAATAATTTTCTAAGAAAACGTATCCATTGGTTTCAATGTTAAGGTCATTTACTGATTAACTTTTGTAATAGTTTATTATATTAATTAAAAATATGTCAAAAGAAATTAGAGAAGATTAGTTTTATCCACAGTTGGACATTAACCCGTTGAAAAACTAATTAAAAATTTCGAATAAAATTATTAAAATGCTTGAATAAAATTTATTCGTAGCTATATTATAGTTGATTCGTTTTTCGTATAGTTTCGGCTATTTGGCAATTATTTGCGATTATTATTATGTTTTAAATAATAAATTTGAAATAACTTATGAAAGTACTTTATTCGTAAACTACTAAATTTTGTCCATTACTGTTTTATCTATTATTTATCACATAAATGATAAACATTTTTTATCTCTGATTATTTCGACTTATTCCATGCCTTAGATAAAGTTGAAGTGACAGTTGCAGACTAATTTCTATTCATAGATGGTCTTCGAATAACTTCGGTTAGTTACCATTCGACTGAAGTTAACTGCGGTTATTCAAGCATTTCGAATAATATCACCAGATAAAGTAATTTTATTTGAAACTTTAATTACTACTAGTTACTTTTTTTAACTCATTAATTCTCGACTTAGATCACTGATTCGCATTTTTTCTTTAACAAATAACGAACAACACATGCAAATTCAAAGAGTCTGGAGAAAGTAGTAAGTTCTAATTTGTGTCAGACTAAAAAAAAAAAGACGAAAGAAGGATATAAGAAACATAATTCATTTTTTTCCAGCCACTTATTTCTTGTCCGTTTAATTATTTAATTATACGTGTGTATTAAATTACATTCATTTTAAGAATGATGTTCAGATTACAGACGATATTACAGTATCGTAATACTACAATCATAGAATAGTCGAGAAAAACAATAACTAAATTCAAGTAAAGCTATTTACGTATTTTTAAAAAGATACATTTCTTCGAAAAGAAAGAGCTAAAAAACAAGATATAATTATCGTTTAACTTCATCAGACGATACAAATTCATTACGTTATTTTACAATTTATATAATTTTATTTTAAATAATTAATCTTTTAAAATTATTATATCTCGTCCCTATCCCGCAATAATTAAAAGCATTTTTTCTATTATTCAATTTTTCTATTCCTTTATAAATTTTCTTATCGCGAATCTTTATCTTTTTTTTTAAATTCTCGATTCTAACCTTTGTATCCTAATATATTTTGATTATTTAAGAGATATAATGTTTATAAATCACGGAAAGAAAAAGGAAAATAAAAAAAGAGATTAATTTTTCTGTTACGAAATTTTCGTTGCTATTTCATCAATAAATAAAATGACGAAGATGATTCGTTGATAATAATAAATGGACTTGACCAAAATATTTTCCGATACAATACAACAATGGAACGATGATATCTTTGTCATCGACAATGATCGTTCGAACGTTCGATTTATCTTTTTTTTCTTCTTCGATTTCCTGTGAATCGATTCGCGTGCAACGTCATGTCGATGTTGAGATCGGTGATACAATTTTCCTATGTACACGCAGGTGGATGCATATTAAAATACCCAGAAGAAACATATGGAACAACGCTATTCGTTCGGCCATTTTTATTCAACTGAACGAGTATCTCTAAATAATTTTTGAATAAAATTTAAACAAATCTAGTTTTTTTCGCAAACTATTATTTTATAATAATAATAAACTGAAAATGCAATAATTTGCGCAGCCGATTATTTATGAGCTATAATTCTTTTATTCGAATAAAGATAACATTCGAAAAAATAGTTGTACTACAATAACGATAAATCTTTAAACTTTAAGTAGAAAAATCTGTATACCGTCGGACTGTCAACTCGTTATGATCCAATGCCGAACTAATATTCGTTTCCATCATAAATTAAATTTTAATAAACGTCTTATCACATCACACATATGTAATATATATATAATATATATATATATATTAATTACAAAAACATTAAATGTATAAAATAATATAAATTAAGTATTAATTATAATAACGTCAAGTTACAAAGGATTAAAAAAAAACCTCTATACAAGTAACGTAACGCTAATTTATATTGAGAATGAGAAAGCATGAACCGAATCTATAAAATTTATTTTACAAGAAAGCTTACGAGGAAAGTTCGTAACTCGATATATGGATCGGCCAATAACAACGTTGTCCATGGGAAAAATTTGTAAGATCGTAATAAGGCGAGGCGAGTCGTCCCGAGAGGTCGACACACGACAAATCTCGATGAATTGGCGCGATGGATCGAGAGCGTTTCTTTTCTTTTTAATCGTGCTTCATGCCGAGTCGATCCTCGAAGAAGTCCAGGTTTTCTCTGTGATCGACGTCATTGTTGTTCAAGCTGTTACAGAAACGCAATAACCTTGCCTCGTATGGTTGGATGTCCTCGTTCGACAATAGATTCGAGCATATCGCTGTCACAACGCTGTCCGGATAAATCTGCATGCCTCGACCGTATCTGATGGAGAGAATTCATTATATAGAGTGATTTTCATCTTGCGACATCGTTTCGTATTATCGTGCCTCCTCGACACGACCGCTTCAAGAAATGAATTAGAATTGACAGCCATGAATACCACGCACGACCGATCATTCCAGTTTAGTATGCAGCAAGCGATTATCGTATCGAAAAGAATTGTAGAAAATTTTAAAATAGAGAAGGGTAGAGAATTTTAAAGAAATTAAAACACTTTGATCTCGAATATAATTCTAAAGATTTTTTCGAAGTTATTTTTCACGAATAATCAGACGAAACTTTCGTAACTCGAGTGATTCGAAGTCAGCACCGTACCGAAAAGAATTGTTGAAAATTTTAAAGTGAAGAAAAAAAATATATTATCTCGAAGTTATTTTTTCACAAATCGATCAGAAGGAACTTTCGTAAATCGAGCGATTCGAAGCAAGCATCGTACCGAACAGAATTGTCTTCGATCATTAAAAAATTTCCATAAAACGAAATTATCTCGTAATTCGAGCAATTTGAAATTTTGAAAAGATGATATTATCCTTAAATCGTTACAACAAAGTCTGCCACGTCTACCTGATGAAATTCAAGTCGTTTCTTCCCCGTTTCTGCTCCCTGTTCAAGCTCTTGAAGCCCGCTCGGCCGAATCTGATCACGATGTCGGGCGATTTCCAAGTGCGCGGGGATCTGTTCGAACTTCTGTCACCGTCGCCGTTGTAAAATCTCTCTTTGCCTCCGTCTGGATCGCTACGCTCATCCCTAATGAAAAACGAGCCGCTGCATCCTTGGGAATTCTCTCTCTTGTCCGAGCGGCAGTCGATGCTATGCCTCTTCAACGCTTCCTCGAACTCGTTGGGCGCGTCTTTGAAGATCCTTAAACCTCCATCGGCCTTCAGGGTAGTCAACACGGAGGAGGAAACGAGGACGCAGTTGCAGATGAAGGGCAGCACGTACAACGATGATAAACAGCTCCTCTGGAAAAAAGGAACGATCGAAAGAATATATTTTATAGAATCGTCGCGCTCTCCAGAAGAGTAAGAAAGAATGAAAGAATCGGTTTATAGAGAGTTAAAATTTGCGAGATTATTAATTCTTTTGATGATCGATGGAGAGAGTAGGATGCGTCGTCATTTTTAAAAAAAATCAGACAGATAACCGACGTTACGTATTTTACGTAACAAGAGACGAATGAAGATAAGATCTTTGTTACGTAACTTTCGACAACGTGGAATCCTTTATTGAACGGAGTGTATCTATACAATAGGTCGTAGTTATCAAGATTCAAAGAATCGACGCTTAATAACGTTTCTCTTTGTAATTTCGTAGATCTCTTTTTTTTCTCTCTCTCTCTTTCTCTCTCTCTCGTATATTCATAGAATATTTCCAACCAACGTTCAATTCGAGATTTCCACGAATGTCGTTGATCGTTGAAAAAACAAAGAAAAAAAAAAGGAATATATCGACCGTGAAAGATTAGAATCCTAATTCTAAAACAACAGAGAATAGGCGAAATTCTCAAAGATTCAATGCCTAATTTACAATTCTCTATAAAAATGGCGCTTCATCTCTCCCTTATTATCCTTTCTCTTTTTCGCTCAAAGAGAATTCTCTGATAAAAAGGAAGACACGAAATTGTTTCTATCTTTTCAGAAATTGAGAAAACGTAATATTCACGGAGGATAAAAGAAATTTTTCACGAGAATTCGCCCTGTCTCCCCTCCAAGATTTCCTCAAATATTACAAATCACTAGAAAATCAGTCAGTGCAGGAACTACTTGTTACAGATTATCTCTAGATGCAGATGTCGCAGAGGTCGCGAGACAGAGTATGGCGATAAATAATATCGGTTTGTTATTAGCCTGGTCTTAATTAAGGATGTTCGGTAATATTGTGGTACACCGAGTCGAGATTAATGGCGATACCTTACGTTACTTTAATTAACCCCGGTAACATAGTCCACCCTTCGCGATGATCGCGTCGCCTACGTTTTCTGCTAAAAAGCTGGCAAGAATTTACGAGGATGGATCGAGAAGATGAACGGACATAAATTATGGCCTGAAAATAACATCGATGCTCCGTCGGCGATCCGTTATCTCTCTTTTATTTGGTCTAGTTTTTCTAGTCTAGTTTCTTTGAGAGAGAGAGAGAGAGAGAGAGAGAAAGAAAAAAGAATAACTTTCTACTTTGACTTTTTTCCTTCTCGCCTACAAAAATAATATATAATATTAGATCGACAAAATGATAGATCGAGAGATCAAACGATTAAAACTTTTGACGTGTCCTTCGATCTAAAAAAAATATCAGAAAACTTGAAACTGTTAATACTTGTCGAAACTCTAGCGTGACATTTGCGTTGATAAAACATTTTTTCCTCGCTAAGAAAACTTCTTACGTCCGTCTTTAACCGAATTAATGAACAATTAAGAGTGATCATCATTCTTTCTCTCTTTCGAAAAGGAAAATAGGATATTCTTTCTGGATGCTTTCCGCAAACTTTCCTACCCATTCATATCTCATACCTCGAGCTTTTTCGCTAACCGCCAACGTGACATCCTCTCTCTTGCTTGCCTTTATAAATTTCAAAACATCGGTAAAGAAACTATATTTGGAACAACGCCGGAAGAAGAAGAAGAGAAAAGAAGGAAGAAAGAAGTTTGAATGAATATAAGATTAAAAAACCGCCCATCTGATATCGTATTCGTCGTTCGCAACGACGAGGGAAAATCGACTTCGCAAATTATGTTACATCTCTCCCCTCTCCTTTCTTCTCCCTCGTGTATATAGTATATGTATCTAACCTTCTAATAGCAATTTATACGGCCAAGTCGACGAAAGAGAGAAAAAGGCGAGAGAAAGTATAGTAGGTTGAAGCCGCTGAAGGAATTTTAAACATGCGCACTCTTGCAAAGGAAACATCTTCTTTTTACGACACTGTGGGGTATAATCGGTGCGCAAGAAACGAATTAATCTTTAACTGTATGTATAGTGAAATGCGTCGGCTCTCTTGTGCCTTTCTAAAGTACCCCGATAAAAAATTTAATTTAACTTGAGCTTGAATTAGTCGTGGTTCAAAGCTTGGAAAAGTGATGATAAAAATCTTTAATCTTTAAAGAAAATTTTAAGAGAATTACGGACGAACGGGAGCGCGTAATATACGTTTAAATAAATAACATAATCGAATCGTTGCTACGCGCGTAATTTCTCTCCGGCAATTGGATTCATTTACGCGTTCGAAATGCGAATTTCTATTATCCGAATTGGTGAAATTTTAGTTAATGTTCGATCAGGATATTAGGATAAAGTTCGGCCACAGGTTTGATCCACTTATCTAAAAGCGGTACCAAGGGAAACTATTATAGGAGAACTCCATTTAAACCTGATAAATTATTCCGTAAGTACCAATAATAAATCGAAATAATCGTAACAATTTTTCAACAATTTTTCTTGAATTGCTTATCTCTTCTGTCCTCTGTTTAGATTACTTTCGACCTTTCGTAAGGCAAAAAAGAAAAAAAAGAAGAAAAATTGAACTAACATAGGCGCGCAGCAATATTTTTTTGATCGGCCAGAGGATCGACCTTGATCTTTAGGCGGTGTGGATATGGAAAACACGGCGAAGTAATGAAATGAATAAATATTAAAAGTCGTCGATTAAAAAATAATAGAGGCAATTTTCCCCTTCGCGATTCTCCCAAGGGATAGCAGCCTACAAGTTGAAGTTAAACCGTTATAACTGTTATGGTCTAACCTTTTATAACTCGAAAACTTTCATAAAATTATAATTTTCTTATTCCCTTATGCTCCATCTTCGAAATAGATACTATACTTTTAATCGAAATTATCCGCCGTGTATTTCGATTTATCGTTTAACTTTCGTTCTCAAACTCAAATTCAAAATTGTCGAGTGATCGGTCCACAATTCGATACGAGAGTAAAATAGATAAGATGTTAACAATCGTAGAATTTTTTCCAGGGAAACAAATAAGAGAAATTCCTCTTCTAGAAGGAAATATATTAGATAACAATCGTAAAAGTTTTAATCCAGTTTTTCTCGCGAGATGATTGAATTCGAAGAATCAACAATTAAAAATTTCCGACGAATATAAATTCAAATAAATAATAAAATTTCATCAAACTGGGTGTAGTTCAATTGTGCTTGTCAGTGTTTGCTCTGGAAATAGCGATCTATTCGTAATTCGTTTCACCACGGAATTTAACACGTTCACCGTGTGTATATATCCATGTCTCAAGTTCGATTTAGCACGTACATTTTTTTTACGACGTGCACACATACCACGACTCAAATTAAAAATCACGAGATTTTGAAAATAAGTAAATTTCTTGTAATAATTCGTGCGCGTAGGATAATACTCTACGAGAAAAAAGAATAATAATATTCTCTCTCGTTCCAAGCTTTCCCTTCGAGAAAATCTAGTTCGAGTTCGAAGTTGAAACTATCGAGATTGAACGTCTAATTACTCTGATTAACAAACGTCATCAAACAAAAATGTATGATTAATATACCCGTTATTCCTTAATATTCATATTCAATACAAAGACACAGGAAATAAAAATAAGAATTATTTCTTAGTCCAAAAAAAAAAAAAAAAAAAAAGAAAGAAAGAGAATAGCAACAAAGGGATCACACGATCACTCACCATGTCGCAACTCTCGTTATCGTGTGGCTACGAGGGAGATTTTTCAACCGGTCTCTCCGACGATGTTTTCCTCTTCCCTCCGACGCGCGTGTGTATGCGTGCGCGCGTGTGGTGTGCGGTTTTCGGCCGATTCGAGGCGAGGAGGAAGAAGAGAGACGGCAGGGAGGAGGAGAGAACAGAGGGGGGAAAAAAACGTTCGCGTACTCGAAGATGGTTGTACGCGAGGTTTGCGGCCTGTTGCTGCGGTGGAACGAGTGTGTACGGGGTGTAGAGATGACACCCTTTATATAGAGGCACCACTCACGGCGCATCCCCCGTAGCCGGCACGGGCCGACACCGGCCGAGACACAGACGTGATAGCCTGAGTTATGATTGCCCGAGCCCGGTATAACGCGATACCTCTACATTATTTTGATTCAATTACACCGACGCCAGCCCACGTAATTCACCTTTATTATTTACGACACTTGATAAATAATAATTTATTCTATCCTAACCGAAATTTCTTGCGTCTAACAATGCACGGATAATAACAATCGGCCCGCAAAATCGGCCAGCATGTTGCCACGAATGTTGTATCTAGGTTAGGTCGTGGATAAATTATCTACTTCTTTCTTTTTTTTTTTTTATCCAAGGAAAAAAACTACAATATATACGGGTATATATACGAGTTGAAGAGGTTAAGGTGGGGCATTTTTGAATTTATTATTTATTTATAACACTTTTAATATTTATATTTTTATATTTTTTTCGATTGATCGCTCTCTTTCTTTCGTATCATTATAATCGAAACAATTTTGTATCCGATTTTTTTACTTCCCCTTCGTCCTCTCTTTTTTATCGTGAGATTTTCAAATTAGTAGATTTCTAAAACGTTCGCCTTCAATTTTTTTTTAATAGTATTTTCGTTATAATTTAACTTATCTCTCGCCGATAATGTTGTCACTGATAAAGATCCAAATTGCAATATGTATTATTGTGAAAAGAATGTATTATAGAAGATTTGAATAAAAATTTGTGCAAATACGTCACGCGCAAAAGATTATTTATTTTTCATCGTTAACTATTTTGATTATTGCCATTTTTAATGAGATTTTAATGCAATATCCAGAAGATATCTTTTTACAGATATCATTGAATCTTGATTCGCGCTTCCTATTAATTCTTTAAATACTTTTATTATCCATTTTTTCAAATAAATATATAATTACAAGAAAGATTTATCATTATTAGAATCTATGAAATTACTTTTATTTAAAAAAAAAAAATCGAGACAAAAATTACAAATAAAAATTAATTTTTCATCGATTCTCTCTCTCTCTCTCTCTATATATATATATATATATATTTATT